GGGTCCTCAAACTTTTTAAACAGGGGGCCAGTTCACTGGTCCCTTTGACCTGTTGGAGGGCCAGACTACAGTTTAAAAAAAACTATGAACAAATTACTATGCACACTGCATAGATCTTATTTTGAAGTAAAAAACAAAATGGGGCAAAAACACCTGGCGGGCCGGATAAATGTCCTCGGTGGGCCGCAGTTTGAGGACCCCTGATCTAGAGCCTTATGCTTACTATTTATTTATATCAGTGAAATTTCATTTTACAAGAGGTCTGAAGTATAGTGTTCTCCATAGGCAACTAATTTGAAAACCAACAGGAAGCTTCTGTAATGTTCTAATTCAACAATATTTACTGTTTGCTGTGTGCTGAACAATAAGCTATGTTTATGGGATGCAGAAATGCATGAGAATTGTCTCTACTTTCAATGAGCTGCAGAATTGCTAGATTTCATAAGACAACTAAAGTTAAACTACTCTTAAGAAAAAAATTTGTATATACAAAATTGAAAAGCAAAATAAAATACTTTAGAAAGTATGTGGATAAGTTTAAGCCATTGTTTACAGGTGTGGAAAGCTGAACTCACACAACTGTGTTGCTTTGGACTAACTTGTCCTTAAAGTTCTAAGCTAGAAGATGTGTACCTATCTACTTGCCATAATTATGATTTGGCATTTATAGGCTATTATAAACAGCATATGCATATATATATATACACACACACACACACACACACACACACACACACACACGCACCCATATATATATTGCATTTTTTGATTTGAGAAAAATTCTTTGAGAGACTACATTTGCCAGGTGCTGTTCTAGGCACTAAAGACACATACCAAGGGAAACAAAATAGTGCCCGTCTCAATGATGTCTGTATTTTAGTGAAGACAGACAAAACATAGGGATACAAATACATATATGTTAGGGAGTAACAAGTGCTAAGAAACAAGGAAGGTAAAATGGTAGAATGTCAACAGCAGTGGGGATGGAGGCAGTTACTATGGATAGGTCTCAGGGATACAAGTATTAAATTAAGAACCTTTTAAAGGCATATTGACAATGAGGTTTTATAATATTAAGCTAAATATTCAGTATCTTACTGTTACCAAAGCTTTCAAAGAAGAAAGTATAAATTGGTGATAGTGGACCTAAGATGAATAGGTGAATAAAGATATCAAATACTTAAAAAGAATAATGTACTGAGAAGGAAATAAGAGTCGAAACTATGGGAAATGTATCACAAACTCTCACTGCCATTGAGTCGATGCTGACTCATAGTGGCCCTATCAGACATGGTAGAACTGCCCCTGTGTGTTTCCAAGACTGTAATTCTGTATGGGAGTAGAAAGCCCCATCTCTTTCCCTTGGAACAGCTAGTGGATTCAAACTGCCAACTTTGTAGAGCCTAGACCAACACACACACACACACACACACACACACACACACACACACACATATATATAATAATATGTATAATAATAATTATTGACTAGAAATAGGTAGCTTCTCACAGTTACAAAGACATATGTGAGAGCCTTGCAAAAAAAGTTTCTGGGAAATTCTACTATCTTTTAAATTAATTTTTCCATAAGCCTTTTGCGCTCCCTCATGTGTACTGATATGGTAAGAAATATATAGGCCAGAAAAATTCAGTACATCTGTCTCATAATACTTGGGAAACACAGTATTTTGTTTTCTCCTCACAGACATAGGAGACAGACAGACAGACAGACAGACAGACAGACAGACAGACAGACACACACACACACACACACACACACGAGCTTTGGAAAGTTCATGAAAAATTTCCATGATCATTTCAATCCATTTTCTCAAGAACTTTTTGAAGCCCCCTTGTGGGTGTATGTGTGTGTGTATAAATGTTTCAATGCCTTTTTCTTTGAAGGGAACAGATGGTTGGTAGTCGGTTGCTTAAAAGTATTTTTGTAAACATTACCTCACAAACTTAGAGCTATTAAAAAAAGTAAGATTTTCATATTTTATGTGTTTATCTACATGCATATAGATACATTTAATTGGATATATGTATGGATATACACATATATGTGTGTGATTGTGTACAGGTTTCCTGTGAAATGTTGAAATGGCCTAACCCTTAAGAGAAGCCATTATCTTAAATTTATAGAGGAAAACCTTTTGAGCATTTCCGGACCCCAAAGATAACTGATCACACCATACCAAATAACACATAAAACCTAACATAGCACTAACATGGAGGTTTACAGACATGATTTAAAGCTATGGTGACTTGATACTGGCATGTTGAGTGTAGTTCCCAGGGAAGGATCTTGGCAACGCCAGTCTTTCTGTTTAGTGTGTGCTGCCCCCTTAAAGGTTCCCTGGTAAAACAAATGCTGAACACTAGTTTTGCTTTCCCTCTTTTTTGGTAAAAGCAAAGATGCCATTTGGGATTTTTTTTAGTTAACCAGAAAAAGCACACATTTAAAACTTTTGTAAAAGCGAAGTGGGGTGAAGGGGGCCCTTGAAAAGTAAGGGTATACCTGTCTGTTGTTTTTAGGTGCCCTTGAGTTGGTTTTGGTTCACGGTGAGCCTATGCAACAAGACCACGTGCTCAGAGGGGTTCTAGTTTGAACTCTTCTGAAGAAACAGACTGCCAGGTCTTCTGCCAGCAGAGCCAATGGGTGGGTTTGAACTGCCAATCTTTAGGTTATTAGCTGGGTGATATGCTCAGATTTTACAGTGGAAAATGAAAATTTGGAAAGACCACTGGCATATTTTCTTAGTTAAGTAAGGAAAATGTATTACTCTGTACCATGGTATATTTTGATAAAAAGGCATCAACGCTTAAGAAAAATTATGAAATAATCAGATAAAGCATATATCGAGTACTCATTATATTATAAATATATCATCTCTCAAAGACTTCAATCTTTGTAAGATTATATACAGCATGAATTAACACCCAGATCAGCACATTGTGGACATCAAGAATATGATTATAAAAATAGAAGCCAAATAAAAGCAAATCAATGAATGTCTATTATAATTAACTTTTAATAAAAGATTTAGTATTTTAAGATAATTTTATCCTGAAAACTAGCGTGCACCACAGGGCAAGCTTATAGAAAGCAAGCACTGTCTTATATGGCGATGAAGTTTTTGATCAGATTGACTTTTTTTTCACTGACTCACAGTTTAGAATAACCATCAAAATGAAATGCCTGGGGTCAATTTAGTGGCTTCTGTGATATACCGACCTAGATCTGTAAGAATATTAGGAAAGGGCAGTAGTGACATATGCATACCTTTAAAACTATTGCCAATGTGGGGTAGGGAATGGAGACCAAGAATGATTTTATAGTTCATCAAAATACATATTTAAGCAGGCCATTTTCTAAGATTAAAAAGACCCTGATTAGCATGTATCATGAATGATTAAATGAGAATTCTTAGATGGAGATTATATGTTCTGGTGCATATCATTTATTTCCACATTGGTCATGATACAAATTCCATATTTAGCCCAAGGGCACTGAGCTCATCATATGGAAGATGAATAGTAGGTAACGAGCACAGTAGATTTATAAAATAATTAAAGCACAAACTAAATGATCATAACCACCTTACCCCTCCCCAAACATATGTGCATGTGAATTTGCACTTTCGGTTTGAGAACAAGTTAAGGAGAAAATGCTCTCAGAATTCTGATTACCTAGTATGCAATTTCACGAATGGTAAGTTACAAAATCAAGAGGAGATTACGAGAGCTATATGAAAGGCTCAATTCCCTTATTAATAAAAACAGATTTAATCAAGTATTCTCAACCCCTTCTTTGCCATTTCCTTGTATTCACATTCTTGTTGTGGAAAAAAACAAAGCCTTTCCTCCCAAGTGTTAAAGATCATTTAGTGTCTTCAAGTTATTTATGAAGCTATACAGGTTTAGGCTTAAAAACTTCTGGCTACTGGTTTATTAGAGACATATAAAGAAAGGTATATGGGATAAAAAAGCTGACCGTGCATGGATGGAATATACATTGATAGCAAACACTTATATAGCACTTTACAAATTTAGTAGCCACTGCTCTACTTAGCCCTTCTGAGTACTTATTTAGTCCTTACAGAAATTCTACAGCAGGGATGGTTATCATTCCACCTCTCCAGATGGGACCAAAGCCCATCATGGAGAGGTGACATAGCTAATAAGTGGTAGAGTTTGGATTAGAGCAATCTGGTTCCAAAGGCCATGCTTTTGACTACCATGCTATGCTGCCTCATCCCAATTCTAAGCAGAGTAATAATGTACTTCTTGTTTTGGTTATATAAAGAGAAGATTTTGAATCTTAAACTTAATTTCTACAATAGAGAAAAGGGAGGCGTGAAAGGAAAAGAAAAGGGGGAGAGGATCAAACTCATCTAAACTGAAAGAAAAACGAAAGAAAACGTGGAACACATTTTCCTTCCCCACCATGGAAATATATAGCTAGGCTTGTGCTGAGCTGCCAAATAACCATGTGACCATTTATTCAGGTGGCTGTTTGGACTTACTTGTCTAGTGATAGGTAAAAGGTGATAGATAGAAATACTAACTTTACTTAGGTCTGAATTATTGAGATGGATGCTGTATCACAAATACTCAACACTTGAAAAAAATCTGCTATTTTTATGGACATATTTTTTTTAACCATCTGGGTACATAAAATATACGACATTTTCAAAATAGGCCTTAAAATTTTAAGTTTTTACAGTGAGTTTTTTTAGACTATAGATTCTAGCACATTTTTATATATGTAACAAATAGTCACTGTGTGTCTTCTTAAATTCTAGTCTTTAAAATTAGGTATGGCTGCATGTACTTATAACTGGCCTATTTTATTATTAAGTAGATCAATCAATCAAGAAACTTAAGTGACATTGTTCCCTAAGCATCAATGTGGATTTGAAGCAGCAATCTAAGTGGAAAACTTGGAATTCTAAGCCTGACTTTTGAAGTACTTTGAAATTTAATTAACAGTTTACCTGTTCATATCATCAAGATGTTCAGCAGCAAAATAGAAGCTTTTGATTTTAGGATGACAGGCTTTGAATGCACTGCAAGAGAACCAGAGAACATTTATTTGGTTTCAAATGGGAAATAAATTAGAACCAAGAAATTTTATAAGTAAATTACTTCATCAATTAACCCGAGTTCATATACATAATGCTTCTTACATGATGGGAGAAATCAGTTAGAAAATAAATTCTTGGCCCACAAAAAACAAATTCATTTGAAAGCATTAGACAAGTGCTGTAATTTACAAAGTAGAAATTAAAACAACTCTTCCTCTCTGTCCCTCTTTAAATAAAATCAACTTACTATTTCTTGCGGCATTCACTGGCTCTATCAATTTTAAATTCAGGGAGACTGATGAATCCTTCTGCTTTTTCATCCTACAGAGGCAACAATCTTGTTTAGGATATTATGTACAAAAGAGTGAAGGAGAAGATATTATATACTATGTTTTGAATAACTATGCAACAAATCCTCACTTATCAACTTTCTTATTGCCTAGCATTCATTGTACACTTAGGGCAATAGGAAAAAGTCTATCTATTTGCACACTACCAGCGTATGTTTAGCAGTAATAAATGCTGAGATGCAGAGACTGTAATACTGGTTGTTACTGGTTATGAGTCTACTTGGCTGGGCCATGATTCTCAGTGGCTAGGCAGTTGATTTCATGAGGCAATCATCTTCTATTTTGTGACATGATGTAGTCATTTTTCATTTTCACATAATCCCAAACTTTGAAAAACCACCTGATCTTTGGAAGTTAACAATATGGATAAGTCAGGAGTGAGTATACTAATAAATCTGTTCATTTAATTCCGTAAGTTTCACAGAGACTAGAATCAACCTGTTAGCTATTATATTCAATTAAATTGAAGGTATATTTTAACCATGGAAAAAAACCCACTATTATGAAGTCAATTCTAATAATGATTCATACAGGGTTTCTAAAATCATAAATCTCTATGGAAGCAGATAGCCTCATCCTCCTCCTTAAGAGCAACTGGTGAGTTTGAACTGCTTGGTCTTGTGGTTTGGAGTTTACCTGGCAGCACCATCAGAGCCTAAACTTTTAAAGTTTCTTTTTTATTAAAATGAAAATTGAAAATTTTTTTAATTCTCAAGGTGAAGAATTTTATAAATATTTTTGCCTTCAAAATGCATACTTATTTTATAAAATTTAAAATCACTTTGGTCCACATTTATCACCTGTTACAATGTTCTATTATTTGTATAGTTCAGATGTTAAAACATTGGGAAGCGTGCAACTTCAATTTTTCTTCCACCTTTACAACATCTCTTGCTAAGAGGTAGTTAGGGTAAAATGTATCACTTTATCATTTGAGCTCCCTTTTCACTAATTGTGGCTACATTAGAGAGATGACTATAGAAGAGCAAAATGAGAAACCTGACTCGAACGGTTAAAACCTTGTCTCTTGATCCCTCCTCTGATGCACAAAACAAAGAAAAAATTGAAATAGAACCAAAAAAAGATATTTAAAAATTAGTATAAAATTTTTATTATATTCCTATAGTTAGACTGTTGTTTGAATTCAGTTGATATTTTTAGCTAGACGTGATATTTTGCTATCTTTTAACCTGTGTTTCAGATATGCTGCTATATCAGAATGGCTGAGACAAATATCTTTGAAGAACCTCAAATCATTTTAAGAGGGGAAGATGAACCGTAACTAGCAGATGTATTCTGAGCTAGTCTTAAGTCTGTTAAAGATAGAAAACTTGTGGGAATAAGAATGAGTGTATGTCTTACCTCCTCATTAATATACCAATACAGGGATGCATCCTTTAAGACAAACCAGTATTTCTTCCATTTCTGTGAAAAATAACTCTTCGCGTCTTTCTTTTTCCAGAGCCAGCCCTCACAGTCACCACGGCCAAGATCTTTACAAGAAATCCTTCTTTTACTCTTGCCTGCTATCGGACCTGAAGGTAACAGTGAGTGAAAATGTCCTTTAAGTTGGTACAGGGCACAAAGTTAGAAGCTCAATCTGTCAATTACAAAAATAACTCTGGGCACTTCATCTCAATCCCTCTCATTTTCACACTGTATTGGAATGGGAAAATATGGAAATCTTCACCACCTGTTACATTACACAACCTAAGCGACAGGCCATTTATTCAGAAACATGTACTGCTGGTCTCGACACCTGTTGACGACTATGCATTGTAAAAGGAACCTTGTGTTATAACTGAGCTGCAGGAGAAGCTGGAATTGGAGGTTACTGTACGGGGGCGGGGGTTGGTGAGTGCTCTTCCGGATCACACTGGATGAAGCATCCTGGAGGTTATCATGGTGCCAAATAGCAGGCACATTTCCTTTTCTTACCTTTGCTTTTCTTCTTTGATTTGTGCTGCAGAGAGGACTGCTGCAATGTCTGAAATCAAAGAGAAGAACTACTGTCATCTGACACTCCAGGTGCCACCCAGACCACCCGCAAGCTGCACAGAGCTCTCAAAAGCTGGACACTTTCAGCAAAGCCACAAAGCAAGCTGATATATAGCATCTCATCAATTTGAGGGGTTTACAGTGCTTTCTCACATATTTCACATGGTTTTCACAAAAAAATCATATTAGACAGGCAAATATGATCATACCATGTTCACTTCAAGTTCATGATACTGCATGAGCCATCATCACGTAATTACCTGGACTCCCCCTTTCAGTTATGAAATATTTTAGCACATGAATCAGTATTTTCTTCTCACCTCTACTTCTGCCAGTATTATTGGGGATTGATTTTGATAGAGTATGTGATATCACTACCTTGATTTCTCTAGTGTTCTTTACCTCCCTACCCTTAAGCTCCCTGCCCCCAAACCGCATGTATGATATCTTAAGTGTCTAATACTTCTGGTCGACATAGTCTAACAGCCTCATTCTACTACTTAAAATCTTGGTTGAGGCACAGGATTTCAATGCCCTGCCCATCCTTTTGTGTCTACAGTTTCTGCCTTAGTTTACATGGGACTACATTATAATAATTCTCTTGAACCCCATTCCCTGCATTACACTTGTCTACCCAAACAATCATCCTGGGGAAATCCACCTATCCATTTACTCCACGCCTAATGGTTCAGTGCTTGGCTGTTAACTGAAAGGTTGGCAGTTCAAGCCCACCCAGTACCTCTGTGGGAGAAAGACTTGGTGGTTGTTTCTAATAAAGACTTTAGAGAAGAACGCTCTATGAAGCAGCTCTACGACAGCTCTACTCTCACACGAGATCAATAAGAGTCGAGATCAGTAAGAGTCAAAATCAACTCAACAGCACTTAACAAATACCTAAACTGTTTAGAAGCTCTGAAGAAAAATCCACAATTCATAAATCAACTGACTATAAAAAGCAACAGGATTTTGTTTACATAAAATTCACTGGCCTCAGGTTTATACAACAACTCATATTTTTGACAGCTTATCTAGCATATTTAACCATAAATTACATTATACCTATACAGTTTTCTCTTATATGGTCTACATAATTTTCATGAATATAAAGATAAGGATCACATAATTTGCTGATGCATGTTATAATGCAGAAGGGGGCGCCCAAGTGTCAAAGCAATTTAAATATGTGTGTATGTGGGTGTATTCACCATATATGCACATGTACACTTTATAGCATCCATGGTAACAAATATCCACAAGCATTTACTGAGAAAGCATGAAAGATAAAATCCATTATGTTTTGTTGATTTTCCTGAGTGCACTTCATTTTCAAATAATAATGGAAATATAATAACTCAGGCTAGTGTGCTTAAATATAGTTAATTTACATGCAGTTATCTTCCCTAAATTGTTTGGCTGTAAAATTACTGATTGTTTTTATTTTTTCTTTTGTGTTACCACAAGTAGTTATTATAATTAAACAAACTCATTATTTTAAAAACTGACAGAGATGGAGGTGGCTTGTTTTCAGGAAGCTTCAGAGACAACAGCCTGGAAGAATTGGGCAACATAATATGACTTCTATGTTTTTTCATGCTATTCCTTAGAACCTGAGGGTCCCTTTAACATCTACACAGAAGCACAGTTACACTATGCTTTCTTTTTTAAAAAAAGATTTACCTTTCTTTCCCCATAAATATATCCTCATAAAGATCTTGATTGTAAAATAAAATCAGAATGCACACTGTTGAAACTTATGAATTCCTAGGCCCTAAATACAGATTTAGCCATCATTCAAATAAGTGAAGACTTCGACATCCTTTGCAAATACTGTCAACATCACAATAAAATACTCTTAGGAAAAAATCTCATTATATTCCCAACTGAATTGACATTTTCTAAAATAATAAAACTAATAGACTTCTAGGTTTTTGAAAATAATAGGAAAAATAATTAAAACTACTATTAAGGAACAGGTCTCGGTATAGAAAAGAGTTAATATTACATGCCCAAGGGTACTATCTTAGAAGTGCCCTTGGCTAGAATCTGGTAACTTGGCTGGTAAACAGTTTCCTAAAAAATAAGGCTGTTTTGCCTGCTTGGGGCACTGAATACCTACTTTCCTTCTAGAAATCTGGAGACTGACAATGCTTTCCTGAGCAATCCTTAATAAACACCTTGGGGACTAAATCTCATGGGATTTCCTGGACAGAAACCTTACACATATGAACGCATGTTTGCGGCTGGGAGGGGAGTGTACTTTGTATGGTCCATCCTAGGAGGGACAGAACACAAGAGGCCTGCACATGGATTTCTCTAGATTTCATCGGTGTCTTTTCCCTCTTTCTGATCTAGCTGAATATTCCTGCTGTGCCACTGTAATAAATCTTTGTTACGAGTACAACTATCTGTTTTGCTCTGTATGTCTTTCTGGTACATCAATGGACATGTTAGATAGTCTTTCCCCGAGAAACAGCTTCATATTCCAAAGGTCCTTTACAAACTTATATTGGAAACTGTTCTTTATATATAAATAGGTCCCCAACAGGTTTCCAAATGTTACCAGCAACAGTGCTATTAAGCACCCTGAAGTGAAAATTTATGATTTGGTATAGTTTCTTCTCATAGTTCACATAGAATTATTTATTCTAAGTGACAAAAATTTAATTGATAGCATTTTCCTCAATTTTAAGGACATGATATAAATTTAATGACAGCAGGGCATTTGCTGTAGCTAATTAAAAACTAAAAGGAGAGCTGGAATCTTTGAATTTATGATGAAGTGTTTCACAGGAAAGTGAACATTCATAAAATATTTTATTTCCTATTCACTTCACATCACCCTTCTTCAAGGTTTGAATTATATCCTTTAGAAGTTCTTTCATAGTGGTATGCGAATGGAAAGTTCCAGTTGTTGGAACATACATTTTACCTTCACTTCTAAGTAATAAGTTTGGTTGGTATAGAATTCTGAGTTGGAAATCACTTTTTAAAATTTTGAATATATTACTTAATTTTCTTCTGGCATCAACTGTTGCTATTAAGACATCTAGAGCTACTCTGTCATTTGCTGGTTGCAGTCTGTTATTTCCCCGGTGTGGCTTTTAAGATGCTTTCCTCTTTCTGCTCCATATTCTAGTTGTACTATGGTATGTCGAGGTTATAATTTATTCTAATCAATCCTTTTGAACCTTCATTGTGTTATACTGGAAGGATTGTGTCTTTAATGCTGAAAATTCTCAGGCATTATCTCTTCAAACAGATTTTAGTCCCTTTTTTTTCTCCAGCCATGTTGCATCTCTGAATTTACCATTCATATGTTTTTCATGATTTTATCCTTTTCACATTTCTGCAAGGCAGTTTAGGCGAATTAATTCACTTGTCTTCTTAAAGTCAAAGCCAACTGCCATTGAGTTGATTCTGACTCAGACAAACCCTACAGGACAGAGTAGAGCTAACTGCACCTTTGGGTTTCTAAGATTTAAAATTTTTTCAGGTGCAGAGCCTGGTGGTTCTCCCACAGAAGGACTGGTGTGTTTGCATCAATGTGTAGCCCACTATGCCAGCTGGGCTCAACTTCCTAATTCTCTCGCTGATTTTATCCAGTCTAAAATTTATCTTACCTGAAAAGGGCCTTATCTTATCTGGACTCCCAGAAGAAAATATGAATCGGTGTTGGAAGAAGTACAGTCAGAACAATTCTTAGAAGCAAGAATGGTGAAACCTGACCTCATAGATTTGGAACATGTTATTCACATGTTATCTTTGGAGAAGGCTATCATAAAAAAGTAGAGGACTGTTGGATAAAGAAGACCCTCAATGAGACGGATTAAGACAATTGATACAAAACAGAAATGAATGTGAGGATGGTATAAGACGGGGCAGTGTTTCCTTCTATTGTATTGTCACCATGAGTTGATGGAAGCTAACCACAACATAGAGTGTGGATGTCACTGATTACATTTTATATTTCTAGAATGCCTAATTAGTATTGGTTCTTTTGAATAGTTACTGTTCTTGATCTTCTTTTAGTTCAAAATACATTTTCAGAGTTTTTACAATTTCCTATATTTCACATTTAAAAATCAATGAATCCTATGATTATTGAATTTGATGGTTTTAAAGAAACATTGATTTTCTTTAGATGTTTTAAAATTTTGTCTGGAGTGTAAAGATCTTTGTGAGAGAAATTTTATTTTGTGTGCTTATTCCTCCTTAAGGGAGGAAGTCTCTTGCCCCTATTCTCAATGGAGGCCTTTTATTGGTGGCAGAGACTTGGCCCATGGTTCTAGGTCTACATCTGTCTTTTTTCCCTACTGACAGTTGGGAATAAAGCTTTATTTAAGTTTTAATCCTGGACAGTGGTTGCATTCAACTTCTTTACTCAGGGGTGAGGAAGCACTATTTGCCTTCCCAACTGGTTTCATCAAGTGAGTCAAACTTGTATAATGACGTAGCTGGGGTCCATTTGTTCTCTCATCGTCACTGGTGTAGACTTCCACATATTATCTGCCTCTTTCTAGACTCAGAGCCAAGGAGACATTGGGCTTTAGTTTCCATTTCTCACTGTGTATTTTTATTTCGTTTTCTGGCCCTTGAAGTTTAGATTTTGTTTTTGACCATGGCTATATCCTTCCATATGTTTATTTTAGTAAGAATTTCAAGCATAACGTCTTAATGCTTATTGACCACCCAGAATGCATTCCTTTGGAAAGCAACTCTAAAGATGTTAGTTACCATTTAAAAATAACATTTCCACCTTATTTCTTAAACCTTTATTCATTAAAATCTTTCTAGTCCCCCATTAACATTTTGTACTTATTGTAGTACACATCTGGGTGAAAGTTCTTTAAATCTTCTCAGACAGTTGTACAAATTCTGGTCTCTAGAAACTTTTGAATTCATATTGCCAGACAGAAGTTCTTTTTTTTTTTGAGACAGTTCTTGGCTGAGCTAACTAAATATATTTAACATGTACAAAACAGAGTTTAT